GATGTGGCCAAGAGCCACAGGACCCGGAGGGCATGAGAAGCTGCAAGAGATGAGAATGGAATCTCCCTTAGACCCTTTGGAAGGTGCACAACCCTGTCCACAACTTGATTTTGGATTTCTGGCCTCCAGAATTTCAAGGGAACAAATTTCTGTTGTTATACATTACCTAGTTTATGGTAACTTGTGACTTGTTATGATGAACACACCTGGGATCCTCTTTTATTCTAAATACACTTATTTCTCCTCATGTAAAGGCGAGTAGTATTCGTCTAAGTTTGGTTGAATATGTGCCTCATTATACTTTAAGGGTAGATTTTAAACTTCTTCCTCAGGAGAGGTGGAGGCACCGGTAGGAACGTGAATGAGCATTGTTCTGGGAAGGTTCATAGTCATTACATTCTCAACAGGGTCTCAATAGGCTCCAGAATACTTGAGGAATTTCTGAGAGGGAGCCTGGGCAAGTGGAAGAATGAGAGGCAGCTGAGCTCAAAGAGAAAGGAAAACAAAGACCTGAACATACGAAGAGGCCAAGTTTTAAGTATCTGGCAGCAGGAAGAACCTGGAGTGTGTCTGTCTAGGAGGCTTGAAATTCCTGTTCTTGGAAACAAATTTTGCTTCCTGAGAAGGGCAGGTAAGGAAGCAGACTTTACAAAGATTTCCATAGACCACTGTGAAGGGCATACTCCACACGGCTCAGTCTGAAAGAAAGAAAAAGCAGAAGGAGGTTAGAAAAAAGTCCAAATTTCTATAGTTAACCTATAGGTAATTGAGAAAGCGAAATTTGGTTTCAATGACTAATAAGTAAAATGTTGTTTCAAAAGACTTTTATATTGGGATAAAAAAAAGGGGGGAGAAAAAAACCCATTTCTAAAAATAAGGAATGTTATAAGCTTAAGCCTGACTTGAAAAAGAATGGTGTACATTTTCTCTGTTGCTATGAAAAGTTATGGGATGAAATATGGAACAAACCTTAGTCAGAATCTTTGCTGCCAAAACCACAAGCCCTAAATGACAGCTTGCTCCACTGAATGCTGTGCAAACTGCCCCCAAGCCGTGTGTGGGCTCAGAGTCACCTGCCTGCTTCCTCCGCGAAAGTAATTGAGCTGGGGTTGGATGAGGACAGGGCTAGAGAAGAGGGGAATATGAGAACATCTCTGCTTCCCCCAAAGGGGATGAAATTCTTGTAGCCTTACAGAGCAAAATTATAAAGCGTTTTGATACAAGCAACTTCACAGGTGTTTACAGTTCAGGTCTGCCTGCCCATCTCCAGAGCTGAAAGAAGCAGGTGGAACACAAAGCCAGTGTTCAGCTTTTTTTTTTTTTCTTTAGTTTTAGTTTGTTTTGGTTTTTTTTTTTTTTTTTTTGTCATAGGGCTCATGTGCTTGCAGGAGAGAGAGAGGGAAAGTTGAGAAATCACCCTTCAGGGGAAATGCCCACACTGCGATCCCTTCTCCATTCTTCTTTTGAAATTTTGTGCACATATGCACATGCGCCCAGCATGATTTTCAAGCCACTAGGTCCAGGATTTGAATTGTGGTAGGTCATATGGGAATCCAGTGCCTTAACCACACACCATCTGTTGGCCCCAAGGTAGCAACTCAGGCTGTAAGAGGACATTCTTCACAAAACAGGAGCCTGGTCTTTGACAATGGTACAGACTACAGGCTTTCCTGCCACACACCTGGGAGTAGCAACACGTGATAGCAAATGTGTTAAAAGTTAAAAGGAGATGCAAAATGCGTGCATGTATAAAATGGGCCACAATTCTAGGGCAAAAGGATTCTGTTTAAACTTGAGTTTCTTCTCTGAATCAAATACAGTGTTTTTAAAACTTACATGAATGAGAGAATATCAAGTTAAAAAAAAGACTTAAGAAACGTTGTGTTAGACTTTTTTCTCCTTAGAGTAGAATTATCGAGTTTGTAGAGGAATGGAATGTACCCGTCATTTGGCCATGCAAATCACACGATGTGTTGTAGAAAGCACGTTCTGTAACGCGAGTGCTCAGTGTAGCACAACACTGTCCTTATCAAGTTATTTCATCTTTCTTAGCCCACAGTCTTTCAAGCAGGCACTAGCTTGTAAGTGGCCTCCAGCATCTTGTAGGGTTGGCTACTCTTAAGACGTCCCATTTCTCACCTGACCCACAGAGGCCAATCATGACCTCTCCTTGGGTCTAATAAATAAAAAGAAGGCAGGATAGCTCACCCTTGTCAGACAGCCTTCAACCTGCATACCGACAGTCTCCATTATGGTGACCCGCAGCCCCAGCATCGTGATTAGTGATGATGAACCAGGTTATGATCTAGATTTGTTTTGTATACCTAATCATTATGCACAGGATCTGGAAAGAG